CATATTTTCTCCCACCTGGTAGGAAATCACATCCTTCTCTCCTCTGAACCTTCACTGATATATGACATTACACAGTTGAGAATACCCAGGAAGCATGCCAGTAGAGAGCACCCCAAAGGACCTCTGCCTCTCCAAAAGAAAGCTGAAATAGAAGCTAGCCATGTGAAATGAAAGCAGCAGGGTTGCTCTTGTTGTAGACCACCTGGAGCTTTCTTCCCCTCCCTTTATCTTGTAAGGTGGCTTCCAAGATCAGTCTACCCATATCAACAAAACAGAAAGTTGATAGTTCATATAATGGGCAACCTTCTAGTAATAAGACATTTTGAGAAGTAGCTGAAATACTTGAAAGAGAGAAAGACAAGAAAAGTTGACAGTGGGGCTGTTTGAGCCAGTTCTGTCCTCGGAGCAGCTTCTCCTTCTTTTTTTTTTATTAAATGATAGCTGTGTACATTAACGCAATCATGGGGTATAGTGTGGTGTTTTCATATACAATTTGAAATATTTTCATCAAACTGGTTAACATAGCCTTTATGTCATTTTCTTAGTTATTGTGTTAAGACATTTATATTTTACTTTTAGAAAGATTCACTCGTACCCTTCTAAGATAAATCATAGAGGTGTTCCCTCCAATCACCCTCCCTCTACCCATCCATCCCCCTCTCCATATTCTTAGGCTATAATCAGGTTATAGCTTTCATATGAAAGCTATAAATTAGTTTTATAATAGGGCTGTGTACAGTGTACTTTTTCTTCCATTCTTGTGATACTTTGCTAAGAAGAACATTTTTCAGCTCCATCCATGTAATCATGAGGAGGTAAAGTCTCCATCTTTCTTTATGGCTGCATAGTATTCCATGGTATACATGGCACTTGGGCTTCTTCCATGACCTGGCAATTATGAATTTGGCTGCAATAAACATTCTGATACTCAATAGGTCTTCCTTATACTTCATATAAAATCCAAACATAGCACCAGGCCCACAAGGACCAGCAAGATCTAGTCACCCCAGACCTTTAGGACCTCCTGCTCTGTGGACTATGATTTTTGTTATCACAAGACTCCAGCTTATGCCCTACCCCAGGACTTTTGCACTGAAATTCCCTTACCTCATATCTACATATCTAGCTCCCTCACTTCATTCCATTCTCTCTTCAAATGTGACCCCCTCAAAAAGACATTTCTAACCACCCGAAATAGCCCATTCCCCACTCCTACTCTTTAGCTTATTACCTATTATATTTTATCACTACCTTGTTTACTTCCTTTTATCTGTCTCTATCAACTAAAATGTAAATTCTGTGAGAGCAAAGAGCTAGTCTAACTTGTTCAACATCATATCTGTAAAGCCTAGAACAGTGCCTGGTCTCAATAAATATTCATTGGGTGAATGGATGGGTAACTGTAGTAGCAGCATTCTTATACTCGGAGGACAGTCACATGGACTCATCTGAGAAACATTTACAGGATAACAAATATTTATTTTATAAATAATTATTGAGAAACTATTATAGGTAAGGCACTGGGGATAAGTGGCAAAACAGAAACACTGTCCCTGCCCTTAGCATCTTATAGCATCATGGCGGTCAGTGTGGAAAAATGTCCAAAGAATCAAGAGGCAAAGGGAATCAACCGACATGAAGACTAATTGGTCCTGGAAGGTGAAGAAGAGAGAAGGTGCACCCCTAGTTCTAGTGGACAGATAAAGAGATGACTGTGCCCCATTCTGTGACCAAGGGAAGAAGGTGATAAGGGAAGAAGGTCATCTTTAGAAATATTGAGCTGTGGACCATCCAAGAGGAGACATTCAGCAAGGAGTTGGGTATCCCATTCTGCAGCTAAGGAGAGAAGTCTAGATGGAAATACAGATTTAATAAATCATAGGTAATGAGCAGTGTCTCTAGTCATGGGAGCAGGAGATATAAACCAGAGTAAGAAGAAGACCCACAAACCCACATTATAGAATAGTCAGAAGTAAAGCCTGCAAAGACCTGAAAAGGAGAAACCAGAACAGTGGAAACAAAAGGACACATTGTTATAGCAGCTGAGGATAGTGCACGATATTTTAGAACAGTGTTTTTCAACCTTTTCTATCTCACAGCACACTTGAACTTACAGTTAAACTTCCATGGCACACTTAACATTATATTGATGTAAAAAAGGAGTGGAAAAAAAGGGCCTGTGGCTCAAAGGAGTGGGGCACCAGCCCCGTATGCTGGAGGTGGTGGGTTCAAACCAGGCCCTGGCCAAAAAAAAAAGAAGAAGTGAAAAAAGAATATACTTACTGTGCTTTCAACGTCTTTTAAAAAAATTAATGACCTTTAAAAATGTTCACAGTACACTTAAGATCCTCTCATGGCATACCAATTGAAAATCACTGCTTTAGAGACACCATTTAAGATGAGGGCTGAAAGGTATGCATTGAACTCAGTGATGGAGTAGTCCCTGGTCATCTTTGCTACAACCTTTGCCATGGCAAGTTGTGGCTGGATGTGTTCCTGTTTGCTGAGGAGGGAAGTGAAGACTAGGAAATAGAGAGAGATGTAGAAAGCCCTTAAAGGTACACTTGACCCTGAAGGAAAGGAGAGAAGGGAGAAGGGTGGTGGACTAGAAGGATGTAGACTAGAAAAATACATTCAGTGATATTCTTAAGGGCAGAACAAGGATCTAGAGTAGAAACTATTGGGAGGCAGCCTTGGCATAATGCAAAAACCAAACTTTCTAATCATTAGCATTGTTAGAAAATGGATTGGGCTGCCTTTAAAAGAACTGAGCTCTTGATCGCTGGAGTTATGGGAGAATGCCTGAATGTCCTGTTAGAAAGGAATGAAGATGTCAGATCAGTATTCTAGGTTACCAGCTTAAGAAACTAGAAGAGCAAACTAGACCCAAAGCAAGCAGAAGAAAGGAAATAATAACTGGAGAAATCTGTAACATTGAAAACAGGAAAACAATAGAGAAATATAAAGGTAACTAAAACTGGTTCTTCTGTGTGTGGAGGGGGACAGGTTAATAAAATGCATAAACTTGTAGTCAGATTGACTAAGAAAAAAAAAAGATACAAATGACCAGGAATGCAAACAGGATATCACCATAGGCCCCCCACAAACATAGAAAGGATAAAAAATATGTTCTACAGATGACTCTATGTCCATAAATTAAACTTAGATGAAAAAAGCTAGAACCTTACGAGACATAAACCCCCAAAACTTACTCAAGAAAAAATAAATAAGCTGAATAGTCCCACATATCTTAAAGAAATAGCATTCCTACTTACTACAAAACTCCAATTAAAAAATTCAGATGCAAATGGTTTTACTTGTGAATTTTATCACATATTAGAGGAAGAAATAGTACCAATTCTATACAATTTCCTCTAAAAAACCAGAAAAGAATATGGTTCATTTCAACTTATGAAGCCAATATTATTCTAATTCCAAAACAAAGAAACTCAGAAGGAAAACATAAATCAATATCCTTCATGAGTACAGAGTAAAAATCCTCAACAAAATATTAGCAAGTAAAACTGAGCAATACATTAACAAGATAATACATCATAATCAAAAATGGGGTTTATGTCAGGAATGCAAGGGTGGGTCATCTTTGAAAAATCCATCTAGCTAATTTACAATGTGAATATGAAAGATTAGCCTCAATGATTAGTAAGCCAGGATTTTGGGTTATGTGATGAATGAAAGGATCTAAGCTTAGACATAGGAATGAAGAACAGATTGTGTGATGACTGGTAGGGAGAAAAACAGCTCAGTTAATAAAGGGGGAAGTTTCCGTTGCTGGCTAAGAAACTAAGAATTATAGTCAGATCTGGTAGGATCCTCTGAAGGGGCCAGACCAACATGTTCTCCCTCTAGTATCCTCATTTCAAACTGATACGCAGTTAAAAAGGAAGGAAAGGCCATAGAACCTCATAGCACAGTCCCAGACACACAATGAAAGCTCAATCTTTTTTTTTTTTTAACCATAATTGAAGAATTAGAATGAACAACAGAGGAATCACTCAGAGCTGATGGGCCTCAGGCTCTCTGTTTGTCTGGTTGGCTGTGGGGTCAACAGGATACAGACTAGAAAGGAAAGGAGCTTGAGGATCCTTTTGGGGATCCCAGGAATTTAGGGGTTCCCCTCTTGAGCATCCAGGCCCTCAGGTTCCCCAGATGGCAGCGTTCCATCTGTGGCTGGGGTGGAGGAAACCCAGGACACTCACAATCCTGATTTTCTCAGGTGCTTTGAAGCCCCGTGCCTGGACCTTACCTAATCCAGATACTCAAAATTTAAAGAAGAAAAAGCAAGCCTCTATCGAGGGAGGCTTCTCCAGGCCCGATCCCTCCCCTTTGTTTTTGAATCCAGTGATCACAAGCTCATCCCAAGACAGTAAGCCCAAGAGACCACATCTTCTACCTGGCCCTAACCAAATTGTTCCCTCCAATCATTGTATATTTCCTTTAAGCCTACCTTTGTGCATAACAAGTCAACCATCAAAACTAATCTGGCTTGTGTTGTGTCTCTCTCTTTAGTCACTATCTGATGTGGGCCTGTACATAGAGTCATCCCGGATTAATGGGTTGGAAGATGGGCCCAGCTGTCTGCTTCAAGCCTACAGACCCCACAGCTAACTAGACAAACACAGAATCTGAGGCCCATCATCTCTGTGTGATTCCTGTCATTCATTCTAATTCTTCAACAAATTCCTTATTAAAAAAAAAAAAAAGTATTGAGCTTTCACTGTGTGTCTGTGACTGTGTTATGAGGCTATATATCCTCTAATCCTCACAACAATTCATTAAAATAGGTACTGTTCTCGTCTTTATTTTTCAGTTAAAGAAAGAGTCAAAAAGGCTAACTCACCCAATGTCAAGCAGCTAGAAAGTAGAGGAGTCAGGATTTGAATCCAGGTCTAACTAACCCCAGTGCTCAAGTTTTTAGGAATGGAAATCCTTCCTGGTTTAAAATAAAAATTGTTTTCTCTTCCTTTCCTCCACCTCTGCAGTCTCAGGAGGAAGTCTGTGATTTGCTCCATGCTGCACCGTTCCAGAACATCCTGCCTAGAGTCTATATCAAAGGTAAGAAAGCCCTGACAGCAGCTGAATATTCAGCCAGCGTGCATGTGAGCCTCATACGCACTTCCTCATCCCAGTCAACTCAGATCTGCAGTCAGCAAGGAAGAAGTTAGAGCTTTGCATACGTATTCAGTAGTCACAGAGTCACAGAATTGTGACACTCCAAAATGGGCTCCTTCTCGGATATCCATAGTATGTTGCTATCTGGCATTGGTTTAATTTCCTGAGTGTACCACTCCATACTGTATTCATGTAACAAAACTGCATTTGTACCCCCTCGCTCTATATACAAATCTTATAAAAGAAAATAAGGATTTCTTGAGTGATGGAGAACTCACCACTTCCCAATTATCTATATTAATAGATAATTCCATTGTTGGAAAGAGAGCATAGAAAATATTTCCTTATGGGGAATCCTCCTCATACTTTCTACAGTCAAGGAGAACAGCTCTACGCGCTCCATCCACGTTTGGGGATACATTTCCCTCATCAGGGCCTCTGATTGCTAATCCTTCCCTGGTCACCCAGTGTGCCCTGAATCTCACTTTCTGCTCTGTTGCTCCTTTGCAGAGGGAGAGCGCCTGGAGGTCCGGATGAAGCGCCTGGAAGCCAAGTATGCCCCGCTGCACCTGGTCCCTCTGATAGAGCGGCTGGGGACCCCCCAGGTATGAACCTGTGTCATGGGCTCTGAGGACCAAAAGGAACTTTATTTTTTTTTCATGTATACATTAATGCATTTATGGGGTACATTGTGCTGATTTCATATAGAATTAGGAATGATTATGTCATAGTGGTTGATATATACCTCATCTCGTTTACTTAATTATTGTGTTAAGACATTTATAATCTATACTTAATAGATCCAACATGTACCCTTGCATTATGCACCATAGGTGTGATCCCACCATTCACCCTCCCTCAGTCTGACCTCCTATCCCCCCTCCTCCCTCTTTTCATCTTTCATCTAAGAATAGATCCATAGTTGTGATCTATTCTTCGTATGAAAGTGTGAGTGATTGTAAATTGGTTTCATGATAGTACTGAGTACATTGGATATTTTTTCTTCCATTTTTGAGATACTTTATTAAGTAGAATATGTTCCAGCTCCATTAATGTAAATGTAAAAGAGGTGAAGTCTCCTTTTTTAAGGCTGCATAATACTCCATGGTATACATATACCACAATTTATTAATCCATTCATCAGTCGCTGAGCACTTGGGCTTCTTCCATGACTTGGCTATTATGACTTGAGCTGCAGTGAACAATCTGGTGTAAATATCTTTGTTATAAAGTGATTTTTGGTCTTTTGGATATACACCTAGTAGAGGAATTGCAGGATCAAATGGCAGGTCTACTTTTAGATCCCTGAGTATTCTCCAAACTTCTTTCCAAAGGGAACGTATTAACTTGCACTCCCACTAGCAGTGCAGAAGTGCTCCCTTTTCTCCACATCCACACCAACATCTGTAGTTTTGGGATTTTGTTACGTGAGCCACTCTTACTGGAGTTAGATGATATCTCAAAGTGGCTTTGATTTGCATTTCTCTGATGATTAAAGATGATGAACATTTTTTCATGTGTCTGTAGGCTATGTGCCTATCTTCTTCAGAGAAGCTTCTGGTCAAGTCCTTTCTTCACAATGAAATGGGATTACTTGTTCTTTTCTTATTAATAAATTTGAGTTCTCTGTGGATTCTGGTTATTAAACCCTTGTCAGAAGCATAACCTGCAAATGTCCTCTCCCATTCGGAGGCCTATCTGCTTGCTTTACTTACTGTGTTCTTGGCTATGCAGAAGGTTTTTAGTTTGATCAAATCCCAGTAATGTATTTTTGGTGTTGCTTCAATTGCCTGGGGAGTCCTCCTCATAAAATACTCTCCCAGGCCAATTTCTTCAAGTGTTTCTCCTGTACTCTCTCCAAGAATCTTTATAGTTTCATGTCTTAAGTTTAAATCTTTTATCCAGTGAGAGTCAATTTTTGTTAATGGTGAAAGGTGTGGGTCTAGTTTCAGTCTTTTACAAGTCGCCAGCCAGTTCTCCCATCACCATTTGTTAAATAGGGAATCTTTCCCCCAATTTATATTTTTGATGGGCTTATCAAAGATCAAATGATGATAAGTGTCATCTCTTGGTTCATCTCTTGGTTCTCAATTCTGTTCCATAAACCTACCTCTGGAAGTCTTAGCCATTGCAATCAGGGAAGAGAAGGCGATCAAGGGTATACAAATAGGATCAGAGGAGATGAAACTTTCACTCTTTGCAGATGATATGATTTTATACCTGGAAAACCCCAGGGACTCAACTACAAAACTCTTAGAAGTGATCAAGGAATACAATAGCACCTCAGGATACAAAATCACTACTCACAAATCAGTAGCTTTTATATATACCAATAATAGATAAGCCAAAAAAAACAGCCAAAGACGCTGTTCCCTTTATAGTTGTGCCAAAGAAGATGAAATATTTGGGAATTTACCTAACAAACGACATGAAAGATCTCTATGAAGAGAATTATGAAACTCTGAGAAAAGAAATAGCTGAAGATGTTAACTAAGAGAAAAACATACCATGCTCATGGCTGGGAAGACTCAACATTGTTAAAATGTCTGCATTACCCAAAGAAATTTACAAATTTAATACAATCCCTATCAAAGTGCCACTGTCATACTTTAAAGATCTGGAAAAAATAGTACTTTATTTTATATGGAACCAGAAAAAGACTTGAATAGCCAAGACATTACTCAAAAGGAACATTAGAGCATTTGACTCACCCCCCGATTTACAGGTAGGGAAACTGAGGCCCAGAGACGGGAAGAGAGTGTCCAGTACTGTAAAGCTGGTTAGTGGCAGGAGCAGGTCTGGAATGAGATTTACTGACTCTCAGGCCTAAGCGTTTACTCTGTATTTATGGCATGAATCCTGCCAAGAAAGATAAAGTCAGCCCATTTGAATAAGTATCTACTACTCCCCTGCACGGTATCAAGAATTCTGCTCCAATAATAATAATAATAATAATTCTGCTCCAGTATCTCGCCACACACCCTGTGAGCCAGCAGTTCACTTCTGGATATTTTTGTTAAAGAAACATAGGAGTACAAGATGCTTACTGTAACACTGTTAAAGCAAAAAGTGGAAACAACCTGAGCGTTTATCAGTAAAGCATTGACAAAATAAAATGCAGCGGCATCATGTCAATGCTGAATATTGACGTATTCGGCATTTACATAATAATAAGGAAAAATTAGATCTCGGTGCATCAGTATGGATTGATTGTAAACACATGGCGAGTGAGTAAAGCTAGTTGTGCTAAACATCACACAGAAAGATGCCATTTTTCAAAATGCACAGAACAAAACCATAGAAGTAAAACTTGTCCTAAAAATCTGTGGAATGATACACACGTAGTACATGGAGCTGGCGACCTCTGAAGAGAGATGGAGATAGAGATTAGGTACCAGGGGAGGGAACCAAAGCCAACTTTAGCTTTGCCTATAATGTTCTGATATCTGCAAAGGTCAATGAGCTCACACGTGAATTCTGTAAAATTAATTTTTAAAACCTATACAAAGACAGGACGGCTGCCTTCGGAGAATTCACAGACTCTGCGGGGAGCAGGAAGGAAAGGAAATGAGGGCAGACAGGGGCAACAAGAAGGATATGCTGTCTCCTTTCCAGCTGATTTAAGCAAGCTTCACATTTTGGGGGTGGGCAGAGAAGAATTCAGGAAGGAGAGAGACAGGGAGACGAGGCACTGTAGTGAGACTGTTGAAAACCCACTATTCCAACTGTCCTCTCTGGTGCTGTCACCGAGAATCTAGACCCACAGCCCCAACAGAGGACAGATGGCAGCCTCTCCTTTGGAAGAGCATGGCAGGTATTCAGAGCACTCCGCAGAGTCCCTCTGCCCAGGTGTCATGCTGATGAGGCCACCCTTGCCAGGCCCCCTGCATGCCACCAACCTCCTACTGAAAACGGTGACTAAAAGCTAAGTGGTATTTGGGTACTTTGACTCACCCACAGAGAGAACTCAGATCCTGTAGAGTACACACATTTCTTTTTTGGCCTTCAAAGGCTGAACAGAGGAGATGCTCTAAAATGTTTCCTTTTAGGGAGAAATGCCCCAAGTCAGAGACATGTAAATGTGTCTGCTCCACTGCTGGTGTCATCCTACAAGAATCCAGCCTCTCGTGCCCAAAGTTTGGCATGTGTTTCCACTTAGAGAACTGTGAATTCCATGCCTGTTCTGGTGAACACCACTTCCTCGGGACTGGCAGAAATCTCAAGTTGTCAAGTGCTGAGTATTTAACAAACAAAAGGCTAGATGTTCCGTGTGAAAGGAAATTCCAATTTTATAAGTCTCACATCCCTCAAGAAATAGTCCAAAACTTAGTCATTCTAACAAAATTTCAACCTCTAAGCTCACTGGGACTTGGGGTAATCATGTAGTATCTAGTTCAGTGACAGAGGAACTCTACAATGTTTTTAAAGCCAGGAAGTTGAGCTGTATTGCATTGTTGGAATTTTATTTTTGAAACACATTGAGATAATCTGATTTGTTGCCCCACACTATCATAGATGAAAAATTCTGGGGGTCAAAAGCCAGGGGTCCTTGTCCCCAGATCTACATGTGCATTATGTAGGGCCAGCCATGTCATTTCTTAGTGTTTGTTTTCTTGTCTTTGACATGACATGAGAGCTATTTTACCTCCCTAACTAAGCCTTCTGTCTTGACTGCCATGATATTAATAAGCATAAGAATTCTGAAAAACAAAGGATTATATAAAGAAGTAATCTTGGGGCAGCGCCTGTGGCTCAAAGGAGTAGGGCGCTGACCCCATATGCTGGAGGTGGTGGGTTCAAGCCCAGCCCTGGCCAAAAAACTGCAAAAAAAAAAAAAAAAGAAGTAATCTTAAGACATCATTCTCCTCCAAAGAGTACTAAATGTAATCAAAGTACTCCATGCAGGCATGATTTCAACCTGGCTCCCCCACTTGTTTTCTCTGTTCCCTTGTTAACTTGGAAAAGAATGGCAGGGGAGAGAAAAACTCCCCCACTGAGTGGAATAGAAAAGTGGATAAAAGCTATGTTACACACACACACACACTCTCCATATATAACACCAAGCCACAAACAGAGAGTATTTACAGTAAACAATCTAGAAAGCCCTTTTTCCAAAGCAAAAAGAAAATGATGGACATAAAAGAAGAAAAGATAACGAGAAAAAAAAACCCACAACCTAAAAAAATATACAACAAATACAGAAAAAGTATTCAGCCTTATTAATAATCAATGAAATGCAAACTCAAAGAATGAGGCACAATTTTTCATAGTTGGTAAAGAACATTCTTAGTAATAGGGTACTGATGAGGACACAAGTGAGTCAGCTTTTCTTGACGCAAATTTGCATTATGTAGCAAAGGCCTTTAAAATATATATGCTAATAAAATCAGAAATAGGTTTACAAAATTTTATGTATAAGGATGATTGCCATAGAATTGTTCATAGAAGTGAAAATTTGTAAACAGTCTAAAATAAGAGTAGAGGGTGAAATAAATTATTGTATACCACCAATGGTCATTTTATGTAGCCGTTAAAAGAAATCATGTAGTCATTTAAAAAAATCATAAAAATGTTTACAGAAGTGAGTTTTTAAATCTCTGACATATTAAGAGAAAAAAGCAATATAGATACCATAGTATCATCAAATTTTGTTAAATATAGATAATACACACATACATGAACACAAGACATACATCGATATTTTAAGAATGTTTGTCTCTGGATAATGGGGTTTATGGGATATTTGTATTTTCTTATAACTGTAAAAACATTTTTTCCTAAGTTGTACTCAATGACCAGTAATTACTTCTGTAGTTCACAGAAAGGTCTGTGAGGGTAAACACTTTTCTAAAGAAAGGAATAAAGCTACTGTCAGTCAAGGCCTTTTGCCTGGGCTATGGTGGGTGGGGTCCCCAGGGCTCAAAGTCTGTCTGAAGATTTACAAACTGAGTTGCCAATTTTTCTAGTTGCCCAGTCAGGACTATCAAGCCCTGGGGATTGATTCTGACTAACTAAATGCACAGTAGATTTATTAGTAAACTACAACTCTGTTTTCAACTTAGAAGAGAGAATCGTCACAACCGGAGAACAAATTGGGGTCCTTTATTTAAAAGTATCTCCCCTGTACCAGACACTCTGAGCCCTTTCAGCAGCCAAATACAACGGAATAAGAACAAATGAAAAAGAGAATAAGAATAGAAGCAGGCACAGGACGGGAGAATTTTTAAAGAGATCTCTCCAGCTAACTGCAGCCGTTTGAGTGAGCCCTCCTCTGTTCGTGAGCTGGCTCTGCCTGTGGAAGTGGGATGAGTCACCATCCATCAGGGTTCCCTCCTCTTTGTGTTTAAAACACACATTGGCAAACTCTTCTTCTCCAATTCATCTTTTTCTAGACTTGAGGCTTGTATAAGCGGTCCCTGGGTTACACACAAGATCGGTTCTGTAGGTTTGTTCTTAGGTTGAATTTGTAAGTAAGTTGGAACAGATACATTTACCTATTGTCTATAAAAGCCTCCATTCATAAGTGCAAATTGTATGTAAGTCAGATGTTTGTAACTTGAGGACTTTCCTTAGTTATCTTTTCAACTTATAGTTGGGACAACTACGTGCATGGCCCACATTTGTAACGGAGGCCCACACTAGTCTTAGCTGACTTATTTCCCTCCTCAGAATCACTTAGAGGTCAACCTCTTCCCAGGGGCCTCCAGGGAGGGAGCTTACAGGGGAAGTCGAGCAGACGTCTCCCAGACACCCTATACAATGAACTGTTTGGGAAATCCTCCCACTGGGGAGCTGATCCCATGAGTGTCCTGAGAATCTCTTAGGCTCAGAAGCCAGCACCCATCAGCTTTGTCCTCAGACTTGAAGATCTTACTTTGACCTTAGATTTTAATATTTATCTTACTTTGCAGATGGTGGTACCTTTACCCATAGAGCTTTTATTCATCATGCACACATACAGTAATGTGTTTTGACATCTAGTCAGCTGATCATGAAATCTACAGGAGCCAGGAGCCAGATGAGAAGCCAGTTTACATAATTAATAGAGATCATTTGCAATTGTCAGAGAAGGACTTCCAACTAGAGGAAATAATTCTGTTAAATCTATGGCAAATTTTGAAAGATTAACATATGCTCATTGTAACACATTCAACTATATTAGAATTATGTAAAGTACAGATGAAAGTCCCACCCACTTCTCCAAGCCCATCTGTTCTCACAACTGATGTGAATTTTTCTGAAAGATTTCTGCATACATATACACCCCATGTATACTTTTGTCTGTGGGATTGTGTGGTGTTGGTGGTTTTTAATAGAATTATAGTACATATTCATTTCTGCAGCTTGCTTTATTCACTTTACAATTTAACCCATAGACTACTGGCAACCAAATCCCTGCTTTCCCACTCACTGACTGCCTCTCTGAACCTCAGTTTCATCCTCTGTAAAATGGGAATAATAGTGGTACCTACCTCATGGGATTGAATGGAGTTAATACGTATCAAGTGCTTAGAATAGGGCCTGGTTTATTACACTGAGTAATCATGAACTAGTAGTATTTACAGTACTACCAGTAGCAATATAGTAGTATCCAATCTTTTCAGTGGCTACCTAGTGTTTTATTATGTGGATAGATCATAATTTTGTTATTTTTTATTTTTTTATTTCAAAATACCAGTTGAACCTCTGTAAGTTGACCACCCTAGGGACCATAACACACTGGTCAACATATGGAAGTGGTCAACATAAGGAATTAGGTCCACTCTACTGATATGTACAAGTGGTATATTTCCAGTCTATGAGTAGGGAAACTTAAGGAGGTAGTCAGTGTAGGGAGGTGGTCAACTAGGGAGGTTCTACTGTATTAATTGAAAGGGTACAACTGTTTTTGTTATATGAATACCTTGCATAATCCTTAAGTCAGGGCTCTTGGTATACCCGTCACCAGAATAGTGTTCATTTTATCCAATACGTATGTTTTTATCCCATATCGCCCCATGGTTTCTCATGTCCTTCATATGGCTTCGTGCCAGTGTGTACCCATCCTTTAGCCCCCACTTGTTAGTGAGAACTTATGTTTGGTTTTCATTCCTGAGATGCTTCACTTAGGATGATGACCTCCAGTTATATCCATGTTTCTGCAAACAACATTATTTTGCTCCTTTTTGTGACTGAGGAATACTACATGATATATATCTATATACCACATTTTCTTTATCCACTCATGAACTGATGGGCACTTAGGTTGATTCCATTTCTTTGCAATTGTGAATAATGCTGTGATAAACACTTGAATGCAGGTATCTTTTGGATAAAATGACACTTATTTCCTTTGAGTAGATACCCAGTTGTGGGATTGCTGGATTGAATGGCACATTTACATATTTTTTCTTTGAGGAATCTCATGCTGTTTTCTATAGAAGTTGTACTAGTTTGCAGTCCTGCAGTGTGTAAGCCTTTTTTCATCCATGCCAGCATTTTAAAAAAACTTTTTTAATAATGGTCATTTTGATAGGAGTAAGGTGCGTTTTCTCTTTGTAGTTTTAATTTGCATTTTCCTGATGTTAGTAACATTGAGTACTTTTTTCATGTTTCTTGGCCATTTGTCTGTCTTCTTTTGAAAAATTTCTGTTCATATCTTTTACCCGCTATTTGATGGGGTTTTTTTTCTTGCTGATTTGCATTCTTTGTAGATTCTAGATTTCAGTCCTTTGTCAGATGTATAGTTTGCAAATATTTTGTCCCATTCTGTAGGTTGTCTTTTGACTCTGTTAAGTATTTCCTTTGCTGAGCAGAACTTTTTTAATTTAATTAAGTCCCATTTATTTTTGGTTGTTGTTGCTATATTTGCCTTTGGAATCTTGGTCATAAATTCTTTAGGCTGATGTGCAGATGAGTTTTTCCTATGTTTTATTCTAGAATTGTTATGGTTTTATGTCTTACATTTAAGTCTTTTATCCATTTTGAATTAATTTTTGTATGTGGCAAGAGATATTAATTTTTGTATATGAATTGCATATAGCTATCCAGTTTTCCCTGCATCATTTATTGAATAGGACTTTCTTTCCCCAGTGTATGTTGTTGCCTGCTTTATCACAGGTCAGTTAGTTGTAGGTACAGGGTTTTACTTTCCCCATTATTCTATGTCTCTGCTTTTGTACCACTACCATGCTGTTGTGGTTACTATAGCCTTATAGTCTAATTTGAAGTTATATAATGTGATGCCATCAGATTTTTTCTCTTTGCTTAAGATTGCTTTGGCTATTTGGGCTCTTTTTTGGTTCCAAGTCAAGCTTAGGATTAATATTTCTAGATCCAGAAAACTTGACATTGGTTTTTGATGGGAATTGCATTGAATTTATCATGACTTTTTTGACTGCCACACTAGAAAAAACTTTTCCTTGGAGCCACAGTGTTTTATTAGGCCAAGATAGGTCAAGAGACATGTGAGAGTTATACTTGCATCCTGAAAACAGCAGCAGGCTCAAAACAGCATAGGTTAAATACAACTCACATGGCAATTAATGTGTTAAATCATTCCTTTACCAATGGCTCCTGGCTTTTACTTAAGACAAGTAACACTTACCACCAGGTTTCCCTGCTGTTGCACTCAGGCTTATAAAGAGAGTGCCCTGCTCTGAACAAGACATCATTTCTGTGACTGAATTCTAGGTGTAGCCAGCTTCGGCATTTGGGCATCTCTGGTGGGAGGTGGCATAGAAGTTTCACACATCTTTCCATTCGCAGCAAATTGCCATTGCTCGGGAGGGTGACTTGCTGACCAAGGAGCGGCTGTGCTGTGGCCTGTCCATGTTCGAGGTCATCCTGACCCGCATTCGCAGCTACCTGCAGGACCCCATCTGGAGGGGCCCACCGCCCACCAACGGCGTCATGCATGTGGACGAGTGTGTGGAGTTCCACCGGCTGTGGAGTGCTATGCAGTTCGTCTACTGCATCCCCGTGGGGACCAATGAGTTCACCGCTGAGTGAGTACTTCCAGGAAGGCAGGGTCACCCCAATCTGCTTGTGCCCCTGTGAGTCATTAGCCTGCCGGAGTTCAGCTCAAAAAGTAGGCAGAGGTGGTGGTAGCCAACAACTGTTTATTGAATTTGTCGGTTGCTGTTTTGGGTGCCAGACGTGCAATAGTGCTGAGCAAAAGCCGGCAGTCCCTGGCCTCACAGAGCTCATGTGACCAAGGGGGAGACCAGAAACATAGACATAAGGGACATCAAATGAGGTTGCTTGGCAGCCAGGGCAGGAAGGGTGGCAGATGCCAGAAGAGAGTTTGAAGGAGTTATCAGTTTTCAATACATGGATCAGAACTGAGCCTTGAGCAATGCCCAGGATTCAAATCAACAGAAGGCAGAGGGGGCATCCAGGAGCAGCAGACAGCTGACACAGAAGCTGAATATGTGCAGGAGGGTGCAGCATAGGGCTATGAGAGCTCTCAGGGCCTGTCTTTCCAACATTGGAACCTGGGCTGATTGCCTGGGCAGGAGGGAACTGGTGAGGGGCTGGCAGTACAAGCCTCACTGCCCACTTCATCTTTCAACAAACTCTACTCTTGGAAAATGGGTAGCCTCTGGGAGTCCTCAGAGAAGACAACAGAGCTGGTTCTTCCCACACTCACCCAGCCACATGTCAAGGACAGCATGAGGAAGGCAGCTGAGACTCGCACACCAGAAGCTAAGAATGCTGAGACAGAATGGGGCCCAGAGAAGTCTTTCCAAGGAAGTGGTGCTGGGACTGGAGTGGGAAGGCGGGCATGCTGCCATGAGGCTGTTTCAGAGCAGCTCTGGGCCAACATGCTTCTAGCACAGGGTGGAGCAATGGGGACACCTGCCTAGTGTTTGCTGAGGGTGCTGCTTGAGAACAAGAGAGACAGCCAAGGGATAACCCTACTGCCAGCCAAATTGTCCACATCTCTCTCAAGCTTGAGGGCTACTATCGGAACTACATCTCAGCCACGAGGACTCAGCCTCCCTGAGCCCGGCAGTATATGCCACCATGCCTTGTACCTTCCCCTCAGCCTGCTCTGGCCAGTTGTCTCCCTAGTTCGACATGGCCTTCTTCACCCCACAGGTGTTTCTCTGGCTCCTATACAGGGCCAAGACAGATTCCCCTTTGATCTCCCGGAAATAATCAGTCACATAAGTCTCAAGGGCTGGTTGGGGTTTTTTCTTGCAAATTTGTGTCATTTGGGGGGCTAATTTTTCCTACATTAGTGATACAAATAGGCTGACACCTCTTTGTGGTTGGAAAGACTTAAAACTGTGATCCCTGGAGCTAATGAACCCACCTTCCCTTGTACCCATTTTATAGACCAAGAGACTTGGCCCAAAGACGGGCATGTGTACTAGCTATACTTAGGGCCCCAGCTGAGGCTCCCTCTCCCTCTACCTCTCACCCCAGTGCCTCTTCTCCCTGCTCCTAGGCAGTGCTTTGGTGATGGCTTGAACTGGGCTGGCTGCTCCATCATCGTGCTCCTGGGCCAGCAGCGTCGCTTTGACCTGTTCGACTTCTGTTACCACCTGCTAAAAGTGCAGAGGCAGGATGGGAAGGATGAAATCATAAAGAATGTGGTAAGTGGGGTCATGGCTGGGACCTGGGAGTTGTGGTCTGCCTGACAGCCTGGCTTTTATCACAAAAGAAGGGAAGGATGTGCCGCTTACAGAGACCAACTCCCCATACCGCAGTTTGGTACAGAGACATTCAGCGCCCAAGGACCTGCTTGGAGGAAGCCATGAGTCACTTGCCCATAACCTATTGCTATGAATCAGGTTACCCTGGAGGGCAGGGCTGGGCTTCAGCCCCGAAATGCACATTCCCTGGCCCAGACTCTGCTGATGCTGGTTCCTCATCTTGTAAATGTCCACTGAGCACACACACTGTGTCGGGTGCTGAGATTGGATGGATGCTGGTGTGGGGTGTGCAGAACTGCTGTGAAGAGAAAATACCACATTTGAAACCAGGCTGAAGGGCAGAGAAGAGGTGGCAGAGAAAGCTTCCCAAGAAGGATGGTGCTTATGCTGAGCCGTGAATGGCCGGCAGCAAAGAGCCAGGCATAAGTGGGGTGAGGGACTTTCAAGGATGTTCCAGACACAGGGAATGGTCTGAGGCATGAAGGTGGATCAAAGAGTGAGAGGAGAAGAGGCAGGAGATACCTCACAAAGGGTTTTTTAGTAGTGATAAAATATGCATAAAATGTTAGGCATACAGTTCAGAGGCATTAAGTACACTCCCTTTGTGCAGCTGTCACCACCATCCAGCTCCAGAACTTTTTCCTTTGCCCATTAGAAAATAACTCTGCATTCTTAACCTCCCCTACCCCCTGGAAACCACCATTCTACTTTCTGTCTCTATGAATTTGAATCTTCTAGGTGCCTCATCCAGGCGCAATCATACAGTATTTGTCTGTTTGTGACTGACTCATTTCACTTAGCATAATGTCCTCAACGTTGATCCATATAGCATGGGTCAGAATTGCCATCCCTTTTCAGACTGTGTACTATTCCATTGTGTATGTACACCACCTTTTGTTTATCCATTTATCCATCAGTGGAGGCTTGTGTTGCTTCCACCTTCCTGATATTGTAGAAAATGATTACTTCTGACCATTTGGAAACATGGGAATACAAATAACTCTTTGAATTGCTGCTTTCAATTTTTTTGAGTAGATACCCAGACGTAGAATTGCTGGATCATAAGGTGATTTGGTGTCTGATTTTCTGAGGAATTGCCATACTCTTTTCCCGAGCAGTTGCAGAGTTTTATATTCCCACCAGCAGTGCATAAATGTCCCAATCCACATCCTTACTGGCACTCATTATTGTCTATATTGTCTATAATAGAGCTTCTAATGTGTTTAAAGTCTTATCTCATGGTGGTTTTGATTGGCATTTCCCTAATGATTGTTAATGTTGAGTGTTATATCATGTGTGGCCACTTGTACATCTTCTTTGAAGGAATATCTATTTTAAAATAACCTATTTCTTAATTGGGTCATTTTTGTTGATTTTTTAATATATTTTGGATATTAATCCCTTATCAGATATGATTTTTGATATTTTCTTCTGTTCCATGGGTAGCCTTTTCGTTCTGTTGATAGTTGCCTTGAACACACAAAATTTTTCAATTTTGATGTAACCCGATTTATTTTTTTCTTTCTCGTTTCTGCTTTTGATGTCATATCCAAGATATCATTGCCAAAGATTTTCCCCTGTTTTCTTCTAAGAATTTTATAGTTTTCATTCTTTCATTTAGGTCTTTGATCCCTTCTGAGTTAATTTTTTGTGTATAGTATAAATGAGAGTCCAATTTTATACATGTGGGTATCCATTTTCCAAGCACCATTTCTTGAAAAGACTTTATTTTTCCACATTGAATGGTCTTAGCATCTTTGTTGTAATTATTAAATTTGTTGAAAATCATTAAATGTATATACATGTCACATGTATATGCCGTTCCATTGGTCTATATGTCTGTCTAATACAAGTGCCACACTGTTTTGATTCCTGTAGCTCTGTAGTAAGTTTTAAAACATACAGAGAGTTTTTACAGTCCAGTTAACATTTGATTGCCAGAGTTCTGGGTACCCACAGAAGGCCTTTAAGCAGAAGAGTGACATGATCACTGAAGCTTCTGGACCCTGGACCCCAACTTCCCTGACTTCTTCTCTTGCCCTCTCTCTTTCTACCCTCCTGTTTTCCTACCCCAAACATCCCTTTCCTTCTGCAGCCCCTGAAGAAGATGGCCGACCGAATCAGGAAGTACCAGATCTTGAACAATGAGGTTTTTGCCATCCTAAACAAGTACATGAAGTCTGTGGAGACAGACAGTTCCACGGTGGAGCATGTGCGCTGCTTCCAACCACCCATCCACCAGTCCTTGGCCACCACCTGCTAGGCAGATCATCCTGGAGGAAGAGGAGCGGCAGAGAGGAAAAACTACAGCCAGCCTGCCACAGGATCCAGCCAGACAGCGTGTGGGATGGACCTGGAAGCAAAGAGCACCACCCCAAACACATCTTCACCACTCCCAAGGGTGGGGCCTATGCATGCTCTCCCACAACATCTCCATGGTGGTTTGTCCATAGCATAAATGAAAAAACAAAGGAAACAGGGCAGTGTGTGTTTTTATTTCCCCTCCTCAGCTATATTAAGAGCTCCTAGTTTCACCCTTTCTCTGCCCCATAGTTCCACCCATCTATAGTTGCTTCCCAAGAACTCCTCCCAAGATGGCAAACTCCTACCCAGTGCCCATGTGCAGCCCAGGACTAAAGGCTCAGAGATTGAAACATCAGCCTGGCCCGGGGGAGGGGGGACATGCCTCAACCTACTGCACCTTCATCACCCATGGCTCCCCTCCAGGCACCCAGGTGGCATCTCCTGCCATGGGTGTCAGCAGCTCTACCACATCAGCTTCCAAAAGCCCCATCCTAGCCTACCTCTCAGGATAGTGTGAGAGAGAAGTCAGAAAAATTTCCTAGCCATATCCCACTGAGTGGGACTGGGGTAAGAGAATGGTCAGGCCTGCTCTGAGGAAACTGGATACGTGCACCCAATCTAGGAATCCAATCTAGGAATTCCACAGCCCCAAGCAGAACAATTTTAGGCCATCTCAGCAGCTTGATGATGATGAGATGGTTCTCTTATTCCCTAAGCAAGTCCTTAGCACCGGGCATACAGGGTATAGAGCATTGGGCAAGTTAATCATGGCACTGGCCAGAGACCAAATGAGGGACCACTTCTTGGCACAGAATCTCTCCTCAAGATAAAACTCCCATGAGAAGAGTTATTAAGGGGTTTATACAACAGAGGCCAAAAACATCTTAAGGACAGAGAAGTAAGAAATAAAAATAATACTTATCAAATGAGCTTTTAATACCAAGATATACCCCCCCAAAGGAGTCCCATTTGAGTGAATCAGAACTTTCACTGTCCTAGATGCTAAAAATGTAAAAGTGTCATGGGACATTTTACCTTTTGCTCTCAACTGCCTGTTCTCATGAGTTAGACTTCAGGGTGTGTATTCTCTCCCAGGGGTAGATCCACTTCCATTTTCCAGACTGAACCAAAATCCTCTGTGGGAATCTTCCACCAAGTATGGGGAGACCACTGAGAAGGACACAAGCTTTGAGATATGAATGGCTTTGTTACAGAGTACATCATCAAAGGGAGTCTGGGGCACTGAGCTTTTAAGACCATGTAAAGTGTGACATTTGACATGTCTCCTCTAGCCCAGGGAGAAAAGAAAAGAGAAAATGGAAAGAACAATAATGAACCCTCCCCCTGGGCAAATGAAAGGAAATAGTTAGCTTTAATCAGATGGCCCCATTGTTAACCCCACGGAAAGGAAGCCCCGAAGCAAGAGGTCTGTGTGAGGTGGTCATCCTCCAGTGAGGAAAGGTGGGGAGGCAGATCTGTTCCAATGGTCCCTGACGTCAGATCCTGAGATTAGTACATCTGAATGCAGATTTCTGGGCCTCACCTCAAACCTTCTAATCTTGAATCTCTGGGAGTAGAGCAGAAAATGTGCATTTTTCACAAGCTCTCAGAGTTATTCTGTTGCACAGCAAAGTTTGAGAACCACTGCTATAAAGGAATCATTCTGCTTAACACTGGGCTTTGAGATACCTCTATACACGTAGGGAAGGATGGTGGTTCAGAGTAGAAGCTGACAGATCCTCCTGTCTGGAGCTACCGCTTCCTGTTCTGATTATTTCTTCCTCTTGATGACCACAGAAGAAATGTACCAGAGGCAAAAGAGGGAGGTTACCCCACATGGCAGAACTACATGATAGAACATGCCTTCAAAACCCACATGAACTCTCTAAGTTCCAGAGCCTTCCAGATCCTCAGTGCTGTTTAGGGGAAGTAGCTAGCTCTATCTGATGACTAGAGTTCATTCCAGATCCCTGACCATTGCTTTATGGAGATTTCAATCATCCATTTGATAAGATTGCTATTGCAACCACTCACCGGTCCCACCCTGCATTCATAACCCTGTATTTGACCATCTGGACAGAGTCACATTATCTTCAGGAGACTTGATCCCAGTCAATGGAGGGCCTCACCTTGAAGAGAAAGATTTTATTTCCCTGGCTTGCCAGCAGCACTTACAAACACCAGACAAGTTTTAATACCCTTTCCTCCCTGATATTACTGCCTCTCACCTTTTGATTTTTTGTGTGTCCAAGAACCAAGAAAAAAGAAATCTTAGGTTTTAAAAAGTTTAAGAATATCTGTTTCAGAAACCATTAAATGTATCATATTTGTATTAAGAGTCGTTGGGGATTTTTGTACAATGAATTTCCATTTATTTATGGTGACTTATATTTACGCTTGTGATCAAATAATGATGTTAAATTCTTAAATCATATTTGCTATGCAGCTGAAGATGATATTTTGATTTGTATTTTGGGAGTACCTGTGTTGAATTGATAAACATTTCCATCTCCATTAAAACTGCTTCCAAACTAACAAAACTTGATTTCCTGGTCACTTACCAATCTTCATTATCTGTGGAAGGCCACATTAGAACTAATGAGTAAGGAGGCTGAGGCAAGAGAATTGCCTAAGCCCAAGAGCTGGAGGTTGCTGTGAGCTGTGATGCCATGGCACTCTACTGAGGGTGACAAAGTGAGACTCTGTCTCTTAAAAAAAAAAAATATATATATATATATATATAGAACTAATGATTAAGAAAACAACTTTAAAAGAGAATGAAAAAAAATGAAAATACAGAAGGTCAATTCTCCCTAAACTAATGCTCAGCTTGCTTTCTCACTGGGGGAATTACATCTTTACAAATTGATTTACACTGGGGTAAAATGCAGGAGACAGTCCCTGCTCTCTAGATTTCATAGTTTCCCTAAGCATAACTATACGCCTTATGTTCCTGGTTCTAAGAGCAAGAATAGTAGCTATTGAGGCCTGATGTGCACAGGCACCATGCCGACTTCTATCTATACCTTTCTTTTAGTCAACCACAACCACTTTATGTGGTAGAGTCCACATTTTACAAGAAGGCTGTAGAGCCTATTATCACATAGTTACTAAGTCATAGAGATGGGATTTTAACCCAGTTCAAAAGCCTGGGCTTTTGAGATCCCACTATAATGAACTGATCAGCCAAGCCAAACATAGAAGCTAGACTTAAAGATTTGATTGCTGAACTTTTCAGGGCTTTGAGTCACTGAGATTGAACAAAATCTGGTATCAGGAGTGTGTGCTGGCTGAGGAGTTCCCAGGCTGAAGAGGAAAAGCAAGTGCTTGGGAATCTCTCACACTCATAAGAAAAATGTTCCCTAGAAGGATGCTCAGAGCTTTCTTAAAGGCCATCCACGATGAGTCCTACAGCTGTTTCCTCGTCTGTCAAGTAACATAAGCTAATCCCTTGCAGCTCTGATGTCCTGATTCTAGGTAATTTCCCACTGGTGTACTTGGAGGGGCCTGACTACGTTCACACACTCAGAGTTTTTCTCAACTTTGCATCACCACCTCCTAAAATTGCCATCATTGGGAGTCAGGTATTTAAGCTAGTGTGGTTAGAGGACTATTCGTCCTGAGAGATGCTCAGTGAAAAGAAGGTTCCATGAAAAATGAACTTGAGGGACACTTCATGCTCTTTCTCCTCTAAATATCCATCGTGCTCTAGGGAGTTCTGCAGAACCTAACCAGCCTAGATTGCTACCATATCTCCTACAGAGCCATGACCTTGGAAACCCCTTTATCTGGAACACTAATTATCTTCCCTTGGAATACACTGTGAAAAACACTGGGCTAAGGGTGTAGGAATCCATGCTAAGATATTTTTAGAACCCCCACAGGAGAAGGACCAGTGACACAGAAGAAATTGTGACACTGGGACACAAACAAGGAAGCAGGGACCTGGCAAAGTATTGAAGGGTTTCTAATGGGAAGGTGAAGCATTTTGATGGTGGGAGAGAATGCAGTGGCTGGGTGTATCCATTTGCTAGGGCTGTCATAACACATACCACAGACTTGGTGGCTTAAACAGAAATTCATTTCCTCACAGTCCTAGGAACTAGAAGTCCAAGATCAAGATGTCAGCAGATTTGGTTATGCCCAGGCCTCTCTTCTTGGCTTTGGGTGACCATCTTCTCCTGTGGTTTTCCCTTCATGTGTATCTGTGTGCTAATCTTTTCTTATAAGAAGACCAGTCCTATTAGATTAGAGCCCATTCTAATGACCTCATTTTAGTTTAGTTACCTTTCTAGATATACTGTCTCCAAATACAGCCACATTCTGAAGGTTAGGACTTCAACATAAGAATTTGATTGGGGCGGAGATAATTTAGCCCAGAATACTGGAGGTGAAGCTGGGGAAGGTATTGTCTTGGAGGACCCTGAACGGTTTGAAGGTGAAGATGTCGTTCTTTGTTGAACAATTATTTGTAAGAGTTTATATAAGATTAGGAAGAAAAATAAGAGAATTCTAGAAATATAGGGGAGTAGGAAGCCCAAGGAATCTGTCTCCCAAACTAGATAACAATCACACTGGCAGATGGGTCTAACGGAACTATTTTGGAACTCCCTATTGAAGGCCTGCAACTTTCAGGGGGAAAGTCTTGGAAGGTAAATTGCAGTTAATTTTGGTCAGTTTCAGCTCTTAACTCACCAACTGTCACCTGTCCTCCACCGGCCAGGCCCAAAGGAGACAGCTGTGCATGTGTGGGTGGGCATTAAGCACCCTGTCTTCCCAATATTGGGGATTTATGTTCTAATCACTGACTGCTGCTTCCCACCAGGGAGGTGCGATGACTAAGGCAGCCAGCCATTTTTGCACTCCCCAAACCCCAGCGTTATTGCAAGCTCCCACTGCCCCGAGCTGAAGCAACTCCCAAAGGATTGAAAAAGCCAATGTTCTTTTTCTTCCCTTCCAACCTCCACATCATCTTTCTCTTTTTCACTTTTTGGGAACAAGATATTAAAGACCAAGACATTAAAAAGGAGCTGTATGAAAGGCAAAAATTAGAAAGTCACCATGGAGATGGAGATGATGCACAGGGAGAGGGGCAGGCTCAGAAAAGACCAGAGAAGACTTTCAGTTTATACCTCAGGCTTATCTTCAGCATAGAGACTGCCT